AGAAAGTAATTGCACACATGCACCACTGTACAGAACAAATTGTATGTTGCAGATTATTATAACAACATATTTTCATTATCACAGCAGCTTAAGAGCTCGTTTTCTCCGTCGTGCAGCGTGAGGTTGTGTTTGTGAACGCAGACACTTTTAGGTTATTCACTTCTTCTTCTTTTTTTTTTATTGCCACATGTACATGAGTGGATTGTGAGGCAATGGTCCCCCCGGGCATTTAAGTGGAAAAGGCCAAGCCAACTCCAGTACTTTGTGAAGCAACACACACACGTTAATGTTGTTCAGACTCTTTTTCTTATTTGTCTCTTATTAATCATTTGGTCACTTTTCATTGGACGGTGTGAGTCTGGTGCACTCTGCATCTCTTAGTGGAACATTGATGACTCTTTGTTTTCATTTTGTGTCTCTTTTTGTTGGCGTTTTCTTTCTCTCTGTGGCCCCATTGTAGCTGTGATTCCCTGTAATTGTCTTCTTCTCTGGTGAGTCTCTATGTAGTGATGTTCTCTCTTTTTGTTGACTTCGTGAGCCTTTCAGCTGTTTTGCCCTTTTTGTCGTCGTTTAATGTCACATTCTTTTCATTCTAACCTCTTCCTGTTTGGAACATCTCTGTGAATGACATGGTGTAGGTGAAAGCCAGGGGCCCCCCGACACTTTGGGCCCCTCGCTATCTCCAACCCACTAATCCCTCCTTGCACCCGTGCCCGTTTGAAAGCAATGCGTCACGTGTGCGTCTCCTCGCAAACACACAGAAACATTTTCTTTCAAGCAGTTGTGATTAAGCAGCTCTGTATTGTGCGCCGTGTGTGCAATTCACAATGTGACCAATGAAAGGCTCATAATTACATGTTAACACCTGAGCGCCGCGCCCTGTGTGAGCCACCGAATCCCATCATTCAACCCTCGTCCTCCACCCTGCGCTCTGTGAGCTTCAGTCAGCAGCAGCTCCTCTCTCTCTGCTGAGCAAACACAGCAACAGCAGCAGCACATATTTGTGTGTGTGTGTGTGTGTGTGTGTGTGTGTGTGTGTGTGTGTGTGTGTGTGTGTGTGTGTGTGTGTGTGTGTGTGTGTGTGTGTGTGTGTGTGTGTGGTGAGTGAGTGAGTGAGTG